CCCCTACAGGGGGCCGGGGTCCCGGGTGCCGACCCCCGGAACCCCGGAACCCCGGCGGGGTCCCGGGGCCGGGGTTCGACAACCCTGGCTGCAACCACCACATTTCTCTCCACCCTGCTCAAGGTCTTGCCACGAACCTCCTGCGACATGTGTTCCATCACAATGCCCCGACGGCGCCTTGTTCAACAACCACAACAGACGGACGACTGGACCCTCGTCACACACTGTCCCAGCGGACGTTGGAGTGGACCCTCGTACACGAATGACGGGCGCGTGAAGCTATGGTGAGCCACCGGATCGTCGTCGTCTGCAGGAAGACGAAGGCGGGACACACACCACTTCACGCGCTCCAACGTCGTCACCTTTCGCGCCGCGCCGGCTGACGATCGGATGAACGAGTCGCCAATAGCGATGGGCGCCGCAAATCGTCCGCGCACACGTTTCGCACGCTGGTAGCTCCAGGGGTGGTGACGCCACGGTAAACCTTTACCTCGGCTGACGGTTTGAAATTCGAATTTCGAAAAGGAACCTTCGCGCCTCTTTTCGCAGCGCAGCATCGTGGGCCTCCTTGCGCCGCCAGTGGACCACGCCCACATTTGTTCATCTTTTTGGCACCATTGTGTTTCCCTGATTCTTCGTCAATTTTCCTGCAGGTTTTTTTTTTTTTTTTTTTTTTTTTTTTTGGTAAAGGTAATTCGTATTTCCATGTACTACATCTAGGTACACACTTAGGATAGTCTTATCTTGCGTTCTTTTTTTTTTTTTTTTTTTTTTTTTTTTTTTTTTTTACAGAGGTTATTTTCTGGGAATAGATTGGAGCATTATTTTTCATAAAAAAATGAAAATAAAAAAATAAATTGAGTTAGCAGTCATGTCAGGTCACTAGAAAAGGGTGACAATCCTGGGTGGTATAAACACTGAGGTAGGATAGTGGGAGTAGGGGCGCGCCGGGAGCAATTATGAAAGAGGCAGGTTGGGAGGGAGTCCTATAGGATTAGGGGGGCTTTTACCTCATGGCCGAGTACCGAAGTTGACTCTCATACGTCTGCAATCCAGCCTCTACAACAACGTGGCCTTTTGGGCAAAAAAAAAAAAAAAACAAAAAAAAAACAAACAAACAAACAAACAAACAAACAAACAAACAAACACTACGGGTGGACCTTGGGAGTAGGGATGCATTGGGGACAGTAATGACGAGTAAGGGTGGGAGGGAGTCTCATAGGACACGCGGATAGACAATCATCTGGATGATCTAATGGCCAACTGCTAAAGGGGCTGTCATATGCCTGAGGCGAGGTCCCACTAGCAAAAAGGATAGGATCCAGCTCCTGAATCAGGATGTGAAAAAGCAGTTCAATCTCGATTTCCTGCACATGTCCATAAACTCGTCCAGATTCAGGCATTCGATCCGATCCTCTTTGCTAGTGGGACCACGCCCCTGGTGGCTATCATCTACAACAACCTGGGGCCAAGTCCCACTTACCTAAGTACTCTGTTCCTGACCCGAGATTACGAAAATCAGCCGTCAGAAATCAAGAACCACCGTAAATGGGACCTGGCCCCTGGACCTTTTGTTATCAATAAACGAAAAAAAAAAAAAATCAAGGTAAGGGAGGCGAAAAGCACCACGACCCAAGAACGTAGCTCAGTGGGGACCACACCCATGAACTGTTGAAATACAGACCCGAGCTTGAATCCAGATGAAGGTACTTGATGAGTAAAACCAAATATATTCTAAATTGCCTGGCCCCGGCCTAACTCAAATGATGATATCTCAAGGCCGTCGCCCTTTCATTACCTCTCTCTCTCTTTCTTTTCATTTTTTCACCTTTCATTACCTACCTACCACTACTCCTAAGCCTATACAGGGGAACCCTGCAAGCTACCTACCACTACTCCTAAGCCTATACATGGGACCCCTGCAAGCATAGCTACCTCTCACGATTGAACCACCAGTACTCGGCCCAGTACTCGGCCCAGCTATCGGCCGCATAAGAAAATAGAGTAGAAACGTTTCTAGTCGGATGAATTTGGGCACTACTGTACTGGCCCGTACGTTTCCTAAAATTGTGGCTTGTTTATTAGCACAGCTTTAGGAAGTACTGGTCGTTTAAACCACCAGTACCTGCCGGTTGTTAAACCACCAGTACCTGGCCCAGCTATCAGTCGCGGCGCTTCCCGTATACGCGCCGCGCCATTTGGGCTTCGGCCTGCCGGACCGCATTGGCTGGAGGCCGCAGGCAGACCGAAAACGAAAATTGCGACGGCGGTTGGGCAGGACTTGGCGCGCAGCGTGCTGGGAGGCTCGGATTCAATAGCTGAGCGAGGTACTGGTGGTTTAAGGCCCGTGGCGCAGCCTACCGGTAGGCCGAACCTTCCCCAGCCCCGAGCTACCCGTAGGTACATATAAAAAAAATTAAAAAATAATAATAATAATAAAAAAAAATAAAAAAAAATAAAAACACGACATTCTGGCAAAAAAATAAAACAAATGGAAACAAAGAATCCCGTTTTCGTGGAGAGAGAGAGAGAGAGAGAGACAGACAGCGTCTGACAGCCTGCAAGTTTGGCGCAGCCAAACTCACCATTTCTCTCTCTCTCTCTCTCTCTCTCTCTCTCTCTCTCTCTCTCTCTCTCTCTCTCTCTCTCTCTCTCT